TTCTTAACTTCCATAACTTTTTCAAAAATAAACAAATCAACATACTTTTTTTTTATACTAAAACCTTAGATATTTTCCTTTTATTTGATATCATTTTTTTGAAAATTTAACACTTAACCCGCTCATTGAGGGGGATTTAAAATAGCAACTATTTTACAAAAACTAAATTTTTCAACTTAATTTTTGAAAATGTTCTGGAAATACTGTGTCCTTTAAACATATATCAAATTACAGCTAGTTTTATGTACTATAAAATGAAAAAAAAATTTGTCCCAACACTTTATCTTCTGCATGTAAACGGCTGCCGTAGTTAAAAAAACGCTATTTTTGTGTTAAAATTTTTGATTTTCAATTTTAAATTTTCAACTTAAAAATGCTATAACTTTTTGAAAAATGTATTTATAAGCACAAATTTTTTTTTTTCTAAATACATTGTAAGTAAATCTTTCATTTAATATACTTTTTATTAAAATTGGACAATTTTACCTTATATAGGGGGCGTTCATAACTTGAAACATTGTATAAAATATAGAACTTTTTCAACTTAACTTTTGAAAATGTTCCGTAAATACTGCATCCTTTAAACATATATCAAATCAAAGGTTATGTCTTATACTATAAAATGAAAAAAAAAAAAATTGTCCTGACGACCTATCTTCTATGCGCAAATGGCTACCGTATTTAAAAATATGCTATTTTTGTGATAAAGTCCTGAGTTTTATATTCTTTTTTATTTTAAAACATCTTATAAGGCCAATACACTGACTTTCATGAATATTTTATAATTTAATTGACATAGTATAAAGTTCATAAGACATAAGAATTTAAACTTATTAAATTTTTTTTCCTTTTTTGAAGTCGAAAAAGTAATTTTTAAATTCGAGTTATCTTAAAAAGCTAATTTTATCAAACTACGAAATTAACGAAGAGTTGCCGAATCGGTAACACTTGAGCCTTTTATGCTTACGGTACGAGGTTCAAATCCATGTGTGGCTATTAATATTTAGCATTTTTTTTTGAGTTAGAATAAAATTTTCAAATTATTTGATATTTATCTCATTTAGATTCAATAACTTCAATAAATATAAACGACCCTATAACTGTAGTCTCCCCTCATGAGAAGAAATGTATATTCATGTTAATATTAATTTACTATGTGGATCTTTTTGTGGCTACGATTTATTTTGCCAACCCTCACTAGACCTACTATTTTAACGATACGTCAAATGATTACAATTCGTTTAAGTTTAAGTTATTACTCTTGAAAATCAAAAAAATATTCCTTATTCAAATAAAAAGTAGCTTAACCAGCTTTTTCCATACAAATAATTAAAATCATTAATTTTTAATATTCTTAAAGTATTTATTGTCGAATTAGATTTGATATGATAAAAGTATTCAACTACAAAAGTAAATAATTTTACTTTATAATTTATTAATTTTTTAACTCTATTTATGTGTGATACTACCAGTCTATAATATGCCAAATTTTTTTGTAATATGTTGCTATATAAATTATAAATTTAAAAAAAAAATGATTTTTAGTTTCATCTGAATTCAACGATGGATTTTTACAATTATAATCAAATTTTATAATACGCTCAATTGAGTAAATCTTTTTAACAACTTTGTTTTGATTGGTTCATTTAGTTAAAGTAAATCATTAAAATTAATTAAATCCTTAATATTACCATTGTAGAATCTTTTTAAACGCCAAAAGTTATTAGGAAATTATTACTATTTTTTCTATTTCAGTTATTTATTACGATAAAAATGCAAAAAAATCGAATTTTTTTGATAAATGTACTGTAAATAGTAATTATAAAATTTCCTGATTGCATATTAATCTTAAAAATTTCATTTTTTTCTATTTTATAATGTCAATTTCAAAATTGCAAGTTGAACTATAAGTTATGGTAACAAATTCATTTTTTTTTATTAAAACTTTCACTTTAAAGGACAAAAAAAAGTAGGTTCAAAATGATTACTTTTAACATATTAAAAATCAAAATCAATAATAATTTGAAAACAATTAATTTTAAATATTATATATTATATAATTAAAAAAATTACTAATCTGGGTATAATTAAGGAAATAGAAGTTGATGTTGCTTTTGTAATTATCCATCAATTTTTTAAAATTAAACACTATCTACAGATTTGCATCGAAGCGTTTCTTATGAAAGTGATTTTAATCACTGTCAGATTAAATCTATACTGAACCCAACTATGCAACGTCCTCGCTATGCCGCGACCCTACTGTGCTGGATTTTTTTAATTTAATGTCGGAGTAAAATTCGTCATAATTTTGGTAACCTATGGTACAGATGGTCGGAGTACCAGATGTTCGTAACAATTACTACTTTGTCAAATGTCGGAGCATTATCAGTTCGTGGCAAAGGTTTTTCCCGAATCGAATTTAATTTTTATATTGTTAAAATTTTTGTTATACTCTTCCTATACCTAAAATAATTAAACATGAATACAGATTTTTTTTTATAAAGAAACTTTTGTACTTATTATAATCGTGTAATTTCAAAACACTGTGCTTCAAAATAATACAATTTTAATTTTAGAATAGAAAAATTTACAAATAAGTTAAGTTACCCCTATTCAATATACCGCATTCATAAAAAGTACAGAAAAGAATTTTTAGCTTCGATGCGAAGCTGAGAAGGTATTGGTTTTACTAAGATGGAATTATTATAAAACCTATAGTATCATACAAATACCAAATCTCCCATCAAATTCCTAATATTAAAACGTACAGTATCTCACGTTAGTAAAAATTTTATGTTCCAGATAATATTTGATAATATTTAATGCGAGTTATTCTTACTGATTACATATTACATTTTAGCTTCGATGCGAAGCTGAGAAGGTATTTGTTTTACTAAGATGTGTTTTTTTTTTTATTTTTATTTTTATTTATTTATTTTTTTTTTGTGTCTGTTACCACTTTTTCTCAGCTCTCACCGAACCGATTTCTTTCAATGATACGTCAAAAGATCACAAATCGTATCTAGTCGAAGACATTATCCTTAAAAATTGAAAAAAATTCCCTCGTTCCCCGTAAAAGGGGGAAACCTCCAAAAAAATTACAAATTTAAAAATCGCTCATTTTCGAAATTTTTTCAATTTTTTTTTACTTTAAAGTGCCATAACTTTTTCAAAAATGAATATATTAATATAAATTTTTTTTATATAGATGCATAATATCATTACCTTTCATTTGGTATATTTTTTTCATAAATTTAACCCTTAACCTGCCCACAAGGGGGGATTTAAAATGACAACTTTTTCACAAAAAATTAATTTTTTTAACTTAAATTTTGAAAATGTTCCGGAAGGTCTGACACTTTTATATATATCTTAAATTAAAGCTAATGTAATATACTTTATCATGGAAAAAAAAAATTTCGGACTTTATTTTATCTTCAAGGTGAAAATGGCTACCAAATGCTATTATTGTGTGAAAATTCTCAATTTTATTTTTTACATTTTTAACATTATAATGCTATAACTTATTGAAAAGTGTATTGATCAATATAATTTTTTTATGGGAAATACTATTTTTTAATAATCCCTTTTTCATTCGACATACTTTATCTTAATCAGGATATTAATAAGGAACTAGCAGTTTATGAAGCTTTTGGAATAATCCACCAATTTTTTAAAATTAAACACTATCTAAAGATTTGCATCGAAGCGTTTTTTTTTTTATAGTGATTTTAATCACTGTCAGATATTATTATACTTGATCCAACTATGCACGTCACCACTGTGCCGCGACCCCCTGTGCTGGGTTTTTTTTCTTGTAATGAGGAGTAGTACGGTGAAGAATACCTAATAATATATATAATCAGACTCGCGCTCAATTCCAGTACTTATTTTGAAATGTTAATATCTGTAAAAATATTGACTTAAAAGATGTTATTGATGAGTCATTTTTTTAATTAGATTTATGATGTGATCCAATAAATATATATGTGGTCTTCTCATGAAATAAAATAAAACTAATTGTCAAATTTTTTCCTTTAGTAGTATGTAAATTTTTATGAACTAAAAAAAATATATTTGTTATTTTAAATAATATAATAACATGTAAATAAATATAATCAGATAGAACACATTATGATTACTTTTATAATAGCTTTATTAATTATAAATATTTCTATAATTAATGAGTAGTTACTTATTGAATAGCTCATAAGCTATTTCCTGCTTTAATTATTAAAAAGTTATTTTTGTTTGTCAACTTAATCATTAGTTTTGTAACATTTCCTACATTTTAAATAAAAAAACATATTTTATTACTTATTGTTTCGTGGTTCATGCAAATTTTACAACAGTTGTTAATGGCGAATAAACATTACCTTTACTTATCTAAATTCGTATGATTATATATTTTTTGTATTTTAGTTAAAATTAGTTAGTTATTCAAGATACATATTTAAATCTCATAACATAAATCAATTAGGTTTTTAAAATATGTAATTTGTATAATAGTTGATTGAAAATTCTATTATGCATAATAAACTAGCAAAAAGTTAAAAATATCAGCCGATATATCACAATTCGATATTAATTAATTTTATTCTTTTTAACTTTATGTAAATGATATTAGTTAACAAGAAAAATATTTTGTTCTTATTATTTACTATTATTTTTTAATGTTCGTGTGTAATTTTCCGTATAAAATGATTTTTTCTTAAACAACAATTTCTCTATTCTTAATACCTAAATATGCAGTTACACTATATGTTTTTTAACTGTGTTCTGATATATTCGCGTTATAAATGTAATGACTTTTACTAATTCATTATCAACCACTTATTTATAATTAAAATAGTATTTAAAATAAAAACACAAGTTATGAAATTCTTTATGAATCGTCATTTACTAAAATTAAGTTGTTAAGATAGTAGATACACTTGTTAACTTAAAAACTTATAGTTGGTTGACTTTTTAACTTAATTGTATCCATAACTGAATATTATAATATTTGTATATTCACATAACAAGAACATTAAATTATTTCAGTTAAGATAAATTTATATTAAATTTGAATTTATTTAATGAAATAATGTTACAAAGAAAAATAAGATTAAAATAAAATAACAAAACATCAATTAAACATAGAAAAAGTAAAAAAATGTTTGGTGGTATACAAATAAAAATTTCAATTTATAGTGAATATTAAGTAAATTGATATAAAATACAAAAATAAAATTTCATTCATAAAAATATTAAAAGAATAGCTCGCCAGCAATAATTTCATTTTTGTGTCTTAATCTTATATAAGGCATAAAATTTGCATTTATTGGTGTTGTATCTCCTCGAGACATTTTTTCTGCCAGCTCAATAGTAAATGGCCCACAATCATGTCCATTGGTTTGGCGAGATGTCTCGCCTATTTGTAATGTCCATGTAGAAGCTTTTCCTTTTTTGTCCATCTCCCATTCAATTAAGAAATTTTTTAATACCATTTGATAAGGACCCTTATACGATTTAAGACTATCATATGATGTCACAGTCTTTTCAGGTATATTAACCACTGTCAATATCCAATGATTCCCATATACATTCATGGGCACAAAAAGTAATTTTATTGTGTGAATATCTTTTTTTATCCATCTTCTTACAGCTGGATAACCTCCTCGAAGATACGCTATAATAAAATCAGTGACAACTGCATAAACTTCACCTTCTGACCGTGTTACTATCATTTTAATGTACTCATTAATTGTGTCTGAAGTATACCATGATGTGGGCGACTTAAATGAAGGTGCATTATACTGATCAAGAGATTTTGTGTTCTGATCTTGCATTACTTCTGCAAGTGTAACCATATTTAAACATTTTTCATAAAATTAATAAAAGACTTTGTTGAACAGTTTACTATTATTTAGGTTTATTTAAGGTTTTGGAATATGAAATTAAACACGTATAATTACTTTTGTTTAAAACGTCCATGGACCCCCTTAATGACACGCCTCTGCAGAAGTTATATTAATTTAACTCGTATTATTATAATTAATTATGTTTAATAAATAATCTTTTTTTATTTAATTTTACATAAAATAAATAGATTAAATAACTAATTACCTTTTTCTTTCTCTGGTACTTTTATTACTTCAATAGTGGACAGAGCAAGTAAATTTACGTCATTCGGCGTATTTAAGGTCAAAGGATTAGAACTAACTTTTGGCTCTAAAATAATTTATGTTTAAAAATATTACATATTTGTTTCAAAAATCAAAACTTCATATTTTTTAAAAATGAATTATATTTTAAAAGTTGTATACTTTTTATGACTTTTTCATCTTCTTCGGATGAATTTCTTTTTAAATTTGGTCGAGCAGTAGTATTAGAAGATATCTCAAAAAGTTGTTTTTTTATTTCGGATTTTTTGCGTTCCAAATTTTTCTTATGAAAACTCTTAACGGATCATAAAAATATATTTAATTATATGATAAATTTATTTAAGAAATCTGCTTTCAATCCAAATGGTTTAGGGTATACCCTAAAATCTTTTTATTGAAAAATAGCATAATAAAATATACCTTTTCTAGCAAATCGGATGATATTAATAGCGTATTGTCTTTTGAAATTTCTATATTTTTTTTTTCTGTTGAATTTAAAATTTCATTTTTATAGTTTCCAGATATTTCATTCTGAAAAAGTGTTCGGAGTTCTGGTTCCCTCAATTTCTAGGCAACCAAAGAGATATTTAAATAAACATATAAACTATATTTAATATTATATTATTATCTTCCATAAAAATTGAATTTCCCATAAAAATCTTATTGAAAAAATAGCAGAATAATATTAAACATTATGCTATCGCATTTATATTAAGGGGGTTGATAGTTTATTTTATAATTTTGAATCAGACAAACCCCAATAACATAGCTAAATCGAATAAATATATTAATATAATTATAGTTACCAATTTTTCTGGAATCATTTTATCATTTTTATTCGTTTTTCGATACGTGCGTTTTTTTGGAATAATGGAATTTGTTATAGGATAAATATTTTTATTAATAATTGCTGCAAATTTAATATCATTTTAATAATTATTAATTAAATAATAAATTTTAAAAAAGTTTTTTAATATTAAAATAGTTAAATTAAAGTAAAGCGACTGAATTATTGTTATATATGAATAAGAGAACTTATTATTAATTGTTCTTATATTTTATATTAAAAAACTTTTTCTCTATTCAAAATAGTTAGTTTAATTATTAATCTTAATAGTGTTTACAGATAATTCTNAAAAAAACTTTTTCTCTAATCGAAATAGTTGGTTTAATTATTAATCTTAATAGTATTTACAGATAATTTTTCCATCTTTAAATGACTTTTTTGATATTTGTCCTTTATTTGTATTATTTAAAACATAATTGGAATGCATGAAACGACGATTCCATATTTCTTCAACTCTGCGTATGACCTTATGTAAGTTTGATTCATTTGTTTGACCAAAAATATTTTTTTCACTTGCCATATCAATAACTAATTAAATAAATCTTAATAATTACACAAGACGATAGTTTATTTTTCACGGGAAAAAACGGAGTGAACTGAAATGTCGATAAAATCAACATTTACATCTCATTGTCAAGGAAACTTAATTGTAAAAATTCATTAAACAAATGTATAAGCCAATTATAAATAAATTTAGTATAAACAATAATTATTTATTTTTATTTTATTATTGGTCAACGAATACAACGTGTTAAGAGTTTATTATAGAGAATTATTAAAATATGTATATATTTTTTAAAGATTTTTTGAAGAAAAATCTTTTGTATTTGTTTATTTATTTATTACATTAGTTTAAAAATGATACAGATTTTTTTATGAAAGTTCAAGTGGAATAAATTTGATGTTTGTTAACAGAATGTTTATACATATAAAATTTAATCTATATGAAATAAAATACCAACGTTTGGATTTATGCTCTTGCAACTATTAAAAATTTTGCCCGGGTGACTGCTATTATCATTTAGTTATGAATAAAAAACATCATGCCATGCGATTATAATCAACATAAAAATTTATTAAGTTGAATATATAATACAGTTTAACAATTTAATTAATAATTGAATTAATGACATAATAATTCTGAAAAAAGAAAATAACAGGAGATTTGAATTAAGTTTTACGACTTGAACAAATCGAAAATAACTTTAGGGTTTAACTACCTTATAGGTTTAATTAATTAAATAATAATTATTATTATTTGCATTTTTAATTTTATTATTATTATTTTTTTGACAATAATGGCTATTTTTGTATCTTCAATATTTATTATATTGAAGTTTTCAATCTAAATTTAATCTATCAGGATAAACTATTTTCGTAGTGTACCTATCTGTTAGGTACTGCTATTAATTTAGCTTTGATCGTTTACTTGTAGAAATTGATGTCATATATCTAATGTGAAAATCGAGATGATGGTACTTCTACAATCATATTTTTTTTAGTTTTAGGCAAGTGTCTTCAACACATTTTTTTCAGGGTTATTAAGGATAGTGATAATTCTCATGATTTTAAAAACATTTAGTATGATATTTTGTTATGTTAGTTTTAATAAACTTTTATTTATATCATCTAAACGGTTTTATTTATTTTAGAACAGTATTAAATTAGTTATTTAAACAGAAATTATTTATTAGCATTTTCATTTAACCTAACTTTGTTTAAAACATTTTATATAAAAACTGTTTTAGAAATTGAATTTAAAACCTAATTTTTAAAAAATTTTTTTCAAACTGTTTTAAATTATTTTAAAACGTTTTAGCGGTTTAACATAAACGTTGTATACAATGATAATGTGTTATATAAATTAGAATTATTATAAACTGTACAGGATTAAACATATAGTTTTTATTCAAACTATATAAAATCCATATAAATTTCACATAATTTGTGGTTTTTTTACAATCATTACAATGGCGTAAAAAGATATATTAATAATTATTAATATATCTATTATAATAAGCCGATCAACGAAGGAGTAATTTTGTCAAATAGCGGAAAAAATTCCCAACCAAATTTTTTTTTTTGAAAAAGTTGAATTAAGATATGTATAATGACAAACTAAAAGTCCTCATTGATTGTAATTGAGCTTTTTTTTTTACAACCTTGCAAAAATTCAAAAATATGAGCTTTTTTAATTTTCTAAAAAAAATATTTAACTTAAAAAAAAAAGTTTCGTACAAAAGTTGTTTAAAAGACAATTTTAAACAAAAAAAGTATTTACTAGTTTTTCATTTAAATAAATATTTTTAGAGTTAAATTACATTTAATATGAGTACTAAAATTTATTTTCCATTTTTTCATTTTATGGTTACTTTTTTTCATGTTATACTTACATTAGACACAATGTTATAAATGCATATGTGTGAGTTTATTTATTTATAGTATCATTAAAGTTTAGTGTACATTAAGATACAACCGATAGAGTAGATAATTGATTTGACGCTATATTGTTTAAACCCAACCAAACGCTAAATTATACATTTCCAAACAACAATTATATGATGTCAATTGTCATCGGAATTTCTGGTAATCTTCTTCTTTTTCTTTTCCTTAATCCCAACTACTTAGGGTCGGCCACTCTTATCCTAAACTTCCATTTGACACGATCACCCACATCCTCTACTCTTACATCAGATGTCCTCATATTCAATACCATCCGTCCATCTCTTTTTTTGGTTTTCTTCTACCTCTTCTTCATTCAACATTCATTTCTATAACTGTTTTTACAGCTTCTGATTCTTCTCTCCTCATAACATGACCAAACCTTCTAAGTCTATTTTCTATCATCTTATCCACGACTGACGCTACACCTATACTCCCTCTTATATTTTTGTTACTTATTCTACCTTTTCTAGTCACTCCACTCATCCATATAAGCATTTTCATCTCTGCTCTACTTTCTTATCAACCGCCCAACACTTTGAACCATACATCTAAGCTGGCCTTATTACATTCTTGTAGAATTTACCTTTCAGCCTCATTGGAATTTTTTTATCGCATAAGACGCCAGACGCTTCTCTCCACTTCAACCACCCGAACTTAATTCTGTGTCTTACATCCTCGTCAATACCTTCGCTCTTTTGCACAACTGATCCTAAATACTTAAAACTTTCCACCTCCCCATTCACGTTGTTCCCTATTGTAACTGATCTCCTTTATTTACCTACCTCGTGTTCTCTTTTGTCAACCCAGCCGGAATTTCTGGTAATGATAAAATTAATTGTCATGAAGTATATAATATTAGTCTTGTTCTAGTAAACTAAATGTTGGATAATAACTTTCATGATATAAATCTTAAAAGATCAAATAAAGTAATAACTCTCTCTTCAATAACATTTATTGTTAAAATTAATAATGAAATAATTAAAGTAAACCCATTGCTACTATTTCAACTAATCGCAATTTAAAAAAAAAACCAACAGTGTCTCGGCACAGTGTGTATAATTGGGTGCAATATAAATATGTGACAGTGATTACAATCATTATTATAAAAAAAAACCTTGATGCAAATCAAGGTCATGTGACACGGTCACTCATATCAAATAGGGGTTAAAAAGTAGAGTATTCGAAATTAAAGTACGTTGAATGTATTTAATGGAGTAGGCCATAACGAATATTCCAAGTGTTCGCTAAATAAATAAATATTTAAACTTGTAAATTTGAAAATAATACAATAGTGCATTGTTTGTCATTCGAACAAAACGAATACGAATCAGAAGTTTATTGTATAATAATTGACTAAGTAANAGAAGTTTATTGTATAATAATTGACTAAGTAAGAGTCGCCGTGTACGATAATTTCCATGCATAAAATGTAACATCAGATACGATATTTTTTATATCGGATAATGAAGTCTTAATGTTTGTAAAAATAT